TAATAATAATATTGCTATTACAGTTAAGCTCTAAAACCAACATGTAATGGGCCAGAGCAGAAATGCGCAATGCCATCTTCCAGTAGGGGTAACTTCACTATAATCTGTGATATAGGCTGAATTGTATGCCCCCAAAATTCATTTGTTGAAGCCTTAACCCCAGTACCTTAGAATGTAACCATATTTGGAGATAAGGTCTTTAAAGAGGTAACTAAGTTAAAAGGAGGTCTTCAGGGTGGGCTCTAATCTTATATGACTAGTGTTCTTATAAGAAGAGGAAATTTTGACATAGACATGTGTTTATACTGAGGAAAGACCATGTGAAGAGAGAGGGAGAAGATGGTCATCTGCAAAACAAGGAGAGAGGCCTAAGAGGAAACCAACCCTGCTAGCACAATTGATCTTGAACTTCTAGCCTCCAGAACTGAGAGAAAATAAATATCTGTTGTTTAAGCCACCCTGTCTCTGGTATGACGTGGCCCGGCTTCAGACCGAGGAATGAACACAGAGACATAAAGATGCAGACACATGACTGCAGCCCGTACAAAAAGACACAGACACCACAAGACAGTATGAGGCTGCAGCGAAAAGCTCTCGCTGTAGCTGTTATATTTATAATACAGGCTGTTTGGCAACTGTCCCACCGCAAGTTCTTTGTTCCCACACCGTCCAGACTCAACACGTCCCAGTTCCTTGTTGTTTCGGTCTCCGGCAAGCAGATGTTTGCATCTCAATTCTCTAGCCTCTCCTGTTTGCAGGGTGAGGGCGCTCTGGACTTGCGTGCAAGGTCACAGATATGTTCTTGAGAAAAACAAGGAAACTTTCCCAGACAAAGGTGTCCTCTACACTGGTATTTCTTACAGTAACCCTAACAAACTAATATAATCTGATTAAATCTAAAAACACAACATTTAAAAAATGTCAATCAGAAAGGGGTTTAATTGCTGAAGGAAACGTAGAAAAAAACAAAATATGCAACAGTTTGAAACCAAAGAAGTCAGTTATAGGGCAAAAAGGAGGAACAAGTACCATGTCAAAGGACAGGTGGATAAGTCATAAATGCAAACATATCCACGAGCTGGTTCTGAGAGGGTGTGAGAGTATAATATTTTGATATGGGGGGGATGTGGCGGAGACGAGATTAGAAAGACAAAGTGATTGTACGACATGAAATGTGCAAAAATAGAGTAAGGTGTGAATAAAGGGGAGGCAAGACTTCCACTGATCTTCTAAATGATAGATTGAACTTGCCACCAAGTTCCATACTTTTTAAATAACTCAAGATCATAAGACCTTAAATGGAAAGCCTAGTTCAGACAGAAAGTGTCACTTCTTGTGTCAGAGACTGCCAATGGCTTCCCTTTTTAGTTGATAATAACCCTGATTTTTTAGTAGGCATATTTCCATCCCGCTAAAATATAATATACTCTAGAGGCCTCTCTTATAGTTAAGCATAACCATGTGACTAGGTTTCTGGCCAACGACATATAAGAAGTGTATGAAATTTCCAGGAGGTCTTTTTTGCCTTTTCTTTATTCACTTCTTGGAATGTGAACATGTTGAAGTTCCAAAAACCATCTTACCCATCTTGGACCATGAAATAAAGCTACACTCCAGGGTAGGGAGCTGAGGAGGGGACAGAGAGCTGGAAGGAACCTGGGTCTCTGGTGACTGAGGAGCCTTCCTATCAGCTCTGGTCCATCTTATCTCTAGAATTCTTTAGTGTGTGAGTAATAACCTTCCATCTTAGCCTATTGTATACAGAATTAAGTGTCTATCTCTGCTCCAGCCTTCCTTCACAATTGCCTTTTCTTCAGTGTCATCACTTCACAGACTCTATGCTCCATTTTCTATTTCCTAAATATTCCCATGGTCTTGGTCCATTTGTGTTGCTATAAAGGAATATTGGAGGCTGGGTAATTTCTAAAGAAAATAAGTTTATTTGGCTCACAGTTCTGCAAGCTGTACAAGAAGCATGGTATCAACATTTGCTTCTGAGGAGAGCCTGAGGCTGCTTCCACTAATAGAGGAAGGCAAAAGGGAGATGGCATGTGCAGAGATCACATGACAAAAGAGGAAGCAAGGGGGGTGGAGAGGTGCCAGGCTCTTTTTAACAAGCAGTTATTACTGTATCTAGGCCCCACATTCAACATTGGGTATCAAATTTCAACATGAGATTTGGAGGGGACAAATATCCAAACTTATAGCCATCTATCATTATCTTGATTCTATAAGTTTTTTCAATTGTTTTTTTTTTGAATAGAAATTCATTTCCTCTGTTTTTTGCCTTACTACATATTAAAGCTTCCTCATTCTTAAAAATTATACTTCCATTAGGGTATAAAGGCAATTTACATGCCCCATCCATCACTCTATTTATTGTCAGCATTTCCTGAACTTATTTCATGACCCTTTTTTCTTTTGCCGCCCAAATTTTCAGGTACAGAGTGGTCGCTTCTCCCCTTAGTAGTCTACAAGAAATTTTATGTTTTTTTCCTTACACATCTCCTCATTGTGAACTTTCTGATTTTTCCCTCATTTCTCTTTCATCTCTTTTCTCTTGGCATTCCAATATTACTTATTCATATTTTATTTTTTTCACTTATCTTTCTCTGCCTTTTATAATGATTATTTTACTCAATCAATATGCTCTTAGAGTTGGGGAAGTGAAGGTGGCATAAATCTGATTAAGTTTTAAGAAGAAAAGTAGTTTTGAAAATTTCACTGCACTTAATCTTTTCAACAACCTAATACACTTGGTCTTAGCCAAAAGGCTGAGAAGCAATTCAACAACTTTTTTATTTATTTATTTTTTTTGAGACAGAGTCTCTCCCTGTCACCCTGGGTAGAGTGCAGTGGCATCATCATAGCTCACTGCAATCTCAAACTCCTGGGCTCAAGCAATCCTCTTGCCTCAGCCTCCTGAGTAGCTGGGACTACAGGCACACAACACAATGCCTGGCTAATTTTTCTATTTTTAGTAGAGACTAATTTTTCTACTTTTGGTAGAGACTAATTTTTCTATTTTTAGTAGAGATGGGGTCTCACTCTTAGGCTGGTCTTGAACTCCTGAGTTCATGCAATCCTCCAGCCTCAGCTTCCCAGAGTTGCTAGAATTAGAGGTGTGAGCCACTGTACCCAGCCCCTCAACAACCTTTTAAAGAGCTATTGTCAATCTCTTTTTAAGATAGGGAAACAGAGTTCAGAGATGTTGGGTTACTTGCTCAAAGACAAAGAATTGAAGAAGATGGAACTGACACTTGCATACAGGTCTAATGGCATCACCTCCTGTGTTCTTTCCTCTATTCCATGTTAACTTCTCTCAGGGTGAGTAAATAAGAGGCCTTCCTGCCAAAACTGCCTATGTCTCCTCCTGTTTGGTAAACAGTAGTTGCTGGTTTGGCTTTTCAATCTGAATTTGAATATCTTTATATCGGCCCTGCACTTTCCAAACCTCTAACATCCCCACCAATCCCTGAGGTCTAACTCCAGGTTTCTTTGCACGTTTAGTTCACCTTCCTGGCTCTTAAGGGTTTTGTGTTTTTGACAGTTGCAGTTTTGTTCAAGCTCACTTTGGAATGTCTGACCCCAAAAATCAGAAAGGCTGAGCCAAAGTTATACCTAGGCCATGCACTAATCTTATTGTAAGAGTGAAAAAATAATAATAAAAAAAAAGATTGAATCCTCTCTGTTGCCAAAAGGAACAGACTTTTTTCCTCTCCCTTTTCTTAAAGGATTTTCTCGAGCAAATTAGTAATTATAATCCCTCCTCTGTATCTATATCTATATCTATATCTATATCTATCTATATCTTTTTAAAAGCTAAATAAGCCTCTTCTCAGATACAGCCCAGGAATCTTTTTCTTAAGGTCCTGGGAGTCAACTCTTTGAAACGTAAATGTTAATAAATATCAAGGAAGACAGTGCCCCCATCTCCCATGCAAAGTGAGTTAGCCCAAGTGCCTTGCTCCAAACTCAAAGGACCTGCTTATCATAGAGATGGGAAGTTGTATTTTTTCTCTGGATAAAGGTAAGAGAAAGAGCAGACACAGACCAATACCCCAAGGGCGAACTACCAATGAATGAGTTGCAAACAGTGTTGTCAACTCTTCTTACGTGACGTGAGAACATGCATGTAACGCATTGTATCTGCTTGGCCACATAAAAGGTGAAATTTTTGTCTGTCTTTGCACTCTCATTAGTGGATTGCCTGTGACACCCATCCCAATCTGGTTCGATGCTTACAGAATACTATTTTTTTTTCTTTTCTACATTTGTGGAGATTTTCAGAGATGGCCAGGATATTTTATTTTTAATTTTTTCTCGACAATATCAATTTATTTGTGTCCCCTGCTTTTATTAGCCTCCCCCACCCTCACCTTCCCACCTGCTTTCAAAGGCAAATTTGATTGATAACTTGCCGCTTGCTCACCTGCTACTTTGCTTTGAAAACTGGGTGAGAAAGGGCAATCAGCCGGCGGCGAAGACCACGACTCCCAGCGCTCCCCGCGCTCGACTTCCTCTTCCGGTCTGGAGGCTGCTGAAACCGAAAGTGCTGTGCTTTGGGCGCAGTGCCGAGATTGATTCACCTTCACCTGTGCGGAGCCCCAACTGACCCCAATAGGAAGGCGGGTGACCAGTAAAACATGAACGGAGGAGTGGATTATATGGTCGCTGAGGAAGAGATCAATCTTACCAGAGGACCCTCGGGTATGTGCGAACGGGTCATATCTGAGAGTAAAGGACTTGCGGGTGTAATCGCGGATATTTCTTCTGCTGAGCCAGATTCACCTGGCCTTGGGGTAGGCAGGCCCCGACCTAGAGGCTTCCTGCAACGCTTTGGGGCACTTAGAATACATTGGCATCCATCGTTAGCCAGGTTCTGAGGAATCCTCTTCATAATGCAGTCGGATTACCACACATATTTATAGGCAGGAAGGGTTTCTTTCTACTAATGGTGCTAGAAAGCCTAGGAAAACAGCCTGCTTTAAAGCCAGCACACTGTGGACACCACACCCTTCCTTCCGTTGCCTGCTCTATCCCTGCTCCTATGAGGGACCGTTTAGTAAAAGCGGGAGCATAAACGGTGTGGAGTCTGAATGCATAGCCGTTTTCCTGGAGCTAAGATCCCTCCCTCTCTCTTTTTATTTCTGGGAAATTCATTTACAGCGTCAGCTAGAATGCTAAAGCAGGAAGAGACCTTAGAGATCTGTTACAAAAGTTCCCAACTTACAGAAGTTTTACCACAAAATTACCCAGAGCTTTTGTTTTTGCTTAAAAAAACAAAAACCAAAACATTAAAACGTTAATTCCTAAGTCCCGTCTCTAGGAATTTGGATTTAATACGGATTTTTTTTTTTTTTTTTTAATGAATGCCCCCTGAGATTCTGATATAACCAAATCCTCACTTAACCCCTGCTATCCTCTTCCTCCTTGACTGTCTTCGCTAGACTGGGCTCTTAACGTTACTACATACTGCCTACTTTGGACTTTGTTGCTTTTCCTTTACAGCTGTTTATTCTATCATTTAAGAGCTTTAGCTATGGAATTACGCTACCTATATCCAAATCTTATATCTAACCTCTTACTAGTTCTTTGATATTTATTGGCTGAATAATTTAACTGATGTAAGCCTTAGTTCATCATCTGTAAAATGGGCATGGTTATACAATACACTTCATAGTGATAAGAGAATGAAATGAGTTCATCTATGTAAAATATTTAGAACATTGCCTGACATATGGTAAGCAGTATGTGTTTGCTACTATTGTTATTGTTAATGGATGAATGGCTAGACTGACATAGTAAGTCTTGCTGAATTTTGTATTCCAAGAGTCTCTAGTAAATCAAATACTAGGAGCTCTATCTCTGAAATGTTTCTGAAATTTTTTCGCTCCTTTCTGTTCTCATTGCTACTATATAGAACGGTAGTAGCTTTTGTCATCTGCAACTTTGCAGTAGCTTAATCATCACTGATAGATTATTCTTTATAAAATATGGTTTTTAGAATTATCCATACTTACGTCTTCTGCTACAAAAAATTGAAAGTTGGTTTTACTTATGGGAGTATAACTCATTCTTAATCTTCATGGATTAATGTCATGCTCTCCATATTAGCTCCTAAACTTTGTCAAAGGCCTATTCAGAATGCCCAAGTTTTTTGAATTTATTTTTTCCTATTTTATATAAATTTTGCCTTCTCTCACCCTTAATATTGACTTTTGAGGCTAACATGGAAAGTTATTTTTAAGCCAAAATCTGTTTTTGTATACTTTTCATTCATTGATACTTGTTCTTTTCTTAGGGCCAATTGTAACAATGCTACTTCCTTTTCTGATTGCTCTGCAAGTTTTAAAGGCATCTAGCTGTTCTCCTAATCTGCCTTTTCCTTCTTTAGCCTAAATATCCTCAGTTATTATATTACCTCCTGTGATATTGTTTGAGGTTTGATTCTTCCCTCTTGCTTAAGAATTTAATGTACTTTGACATATTCCTTTTGCTGTGGCAACCACAGTATTTCCAGAATCTCCTTACTAGAACAGAACCCTGATACTGTCTTTCTTGTTATAAGCACTAAATATTTCTAAAATTCAGTATAATATCACTTCATCTTTGTTGTCATTTGCTTAACAGTGTAGCCTAATGTTCAACTCACCATTTTAGTATTTACTAAATACTAAAGCCTGTTGACCTTGCAGACTTAAAGTTTCTAGTATTAACATTTTTCCAAAACATTGGCATTAGGACAAGCTCCACAGGACTAATTAAAAGGAATATTATGTCTAGCTAATATATTTCACCCTAAAGTGCTTTAATTTCTGTGTTGTATTTGTATTTATTCAGAATGGAATGTCTTTATTCACTAAGTGGCTTCTTGAATTTTCCTAAGCATTTTCATGTCTTAGGTCTATAAGTCAATGAATTTACTGGGAAAGTAGAGCCACAAGTTTAGGATTGAATTTGGATAAAAACAGTCATTTCATATTTGGTTGGTTCATTTAACAAGGAAAGATTTCAAGCTCCTCCTCTTTATTACTCCCCAGAGCTGGTTTCCTGGTATGTGGTATTCTTGGTCTCTGAGTCTAATTCAGCTTTTCTTCATGGTATCATCATGAAGATACACAGGGAAAAGTCAATAGTCACCACTAGAAATTTCTACATAATTTTGGTAGTTCCATAGGAATCTTTCTTTCTGTAGAAGAAATATAAAAAGCCTCTAATTCTAAGTATGCATCTCTATTTGTCGGCAGCATTATCATTTTTTGCCTTTGTACAGGTTTCTATTCAGGGACCTGATAGTTTAATCAGATAACTGCCAGAATGTGTGTACTGTTGCCCTTTTGTTCCAGCCTTCTGTCAGGGACAAGAATCTTGGATATTTCCAGTGTTTGGGCCCATATTATAAGGCAAATGAATCTATTCTCTGTGATTCTGCTTACTACAGGGAAATAATGCAATCTTAGGAAAATTATGACAATAAAGTGAGGAGGCAAAAAGAAGCTTGACGTGTAGCTTGGCATCTCTCCTTCGTCTACTATTTCAACTGTGTAAGGAGAGGGTTGGGCTAGATGACTTCAGAGGTGTCTTCTACTTAGAAGAGTTCGTGATTCTTTGGCCCATTCCATGTTATTTTATGATTCCTCCTATTTTGGACTAACTAGTTGTCTTAGTCCATTTTGTGTTGCTATAAAGGATTACCTAAGGCTGGGTAATTTATAAAGAAAAGAAGTTTACGTAACTCATGGTTCTGCAGGCTGTACAAGAAAGATGGCATCAGCATCTGCTTCTGGTGAAGGCCTCAGGAAGCTTTTACTCATCGCAGAAGGCAACGGGGGAGCAGTCATGTCACATGGCTAGAGAGGAAGCAAGAGAGGAGAGAGTGCCCATGCTCTTTTAAACTAATCAAGCAAAAATTCACTCATTACTATGGGGAGGACACGAAGCCGTTCATGAGGGATCTGCACCTGTGACCCAAACACCTCTCACCAGGCCCCACCTCCAACATTGGGGATCAATTTCAACATAAGATTTGGAAAGGACAAATATCCAAACTATATCACTGAGTTAGCTGAAGAATTTCAAAGGCAGTGGTCAAAATCTCAAATGCCTTCGAGTGTTGAACAGTTCACCTTTTATCCTTTATGGAAAGCTGTTTCTTTTCTTTCTATGAGAGTCTAGCTTGCTTATAGTCTGTAAGGCTCTCACTTTTTTCTTTATCAAATTGAAAGTCTGTTAATGAGTCTTAAGACTCAGTTACTCTAAAAAAGTGTGACAGGACTCTAATAATAGCTTTTCTTCACTGTAGATGGTAGAGATTGGCTGTAAAGACAACCCTACTGTACATTGGGTATCATGAGTAGGATTCCTGTGTTCAGGCCTGAGGTCTCAATGGGTTTCAGTAAGTTCCTTCTCATATACCATCTTTAAAGAGGGAAGAGAATCTCTGTTTTCTTTTTGTAAAGGCTTTGCAGAGGATGATGGATTTATACAATATTTTAGCCATGAATAATTAAGGAAGTATTGTCTTTCTGGCAGTATGCTGGTTACTTTATGTAAATATCAACTCATTTAATCTTCACAGCAACCCTGAGTGGTAAGTGTTCAGTCCACATTATTAGAGGGAGAAATTATCTCAGAGAGGTTAAGGACTTGCTCCAGTTCGAATGCCAGTAAGTTTCAAAGGATTTTAACCCAGGTATCTTGATTCTACTATTCCATATACTACCTCGCACTATAGTAGTCATGCTTAAGAAGTTGATTGCCAGCCTTTTTCTAACCTTTATTTTGTTATGTCATGCCTCACTACCAGAAGGATTTGAGGCATCTTAAATGACTAACACAATTTACAGTGGAAAGTTTTTATAGTTTGCTGTTGATAGAGCTGAGTACATATCAAGGTGAGAACCTAAAAATAAGAAGCCCCATTAAGTCCAAGCATTTAAGCCTTTACCGTCTTGTTGTGTACTTTGGGCTTAACCCTAACTGAAACTGTTGCTAACAGTTTTCTGGTCTGTTCCTTCTTTCATGTATCAAAGATATCTGAAACTAAAGTGCTATATCCGTACCCTATCCTCTCTTTATTACACAAAGTCTAGCCCTTCATGGAATTTACAATCCAATGGAGACGTAATGTTCTCATATGAAAGCTAAATCTCAGAGCAAAGGTGCAGATGGTTAGGGAGTATGATGAGCATGTATGTAGTGGGAGGGCACAGAAGTTTGGAAGGGAGCATGGTAATCTGACCCTGTGCTGGAAAAGTTCAAGGAGTAGAGCCACTGCTAAGGACCCAAGTGGTCAGTTAAAAGAAGGTGGAGCTTAATGTTTGTCTTGTAGATGGCCAGGCTTTAGGCTAAGGGCCAGGGCCAGGGATGGGTAAAGCCTAAGCAGGAATAGAAGAAAATAAGCAAAGCATATTCTGAGGTCAGTGAGTAAACCACCCTGAATAGAAGGGAAGTTTCATTTATGAGATTCAAAGAGGTTGCTGAGGTAGGTAGAGGTTGGATTATGAAGAGTCTTCAGTGTTAATGTGGAAACTTAACCTTTCTCCAAGGTTCCATCTTGATTCCTTCCTCTTCCTATCCATTGATTAAGACTCAATTCAAGAGTTACCTCCTCCAGGAAGCCTTCCTTGCCCAGAATAGATGCTTCCTTATTATCAATATCATATACCATTTATAGATTGCCTATCATGTATCACTAAGCTAAGCAC